CCATACGGAATGAGGCATACTTTGGGGACGGGCCCCAAACGTCTGATTGAACAGGAAGTTGAGGGGGTGAGGAGTACTGCAGAGGCGGCTGGTTTAGAAATGGAGAGGTTGAAAAAGGAGGTGGGGCAGAAGAAGCCAGAAACCTGCAAGCAAACAGCAAGGGGCACATCTCCTGGGAAGACGGGATGACTTCGATGGAGGGCAGCAGACTGTCCAGCATCGAAGCCAAAATGCCCTCCCTTGTTGCTTTGTTTGACAAATTTTCTGCAGACATCTATCTGCGTCTTCCTCCTCCTCCTATTTCCCCACCTACACCTACTCCTACACCTCAGGTTACACCCCATTCCCATGCATGGTCCTTTGCCGTTGCATCGTCCCAAGCCAGTAGCCCCAAGAAACCAGACCAGCTACACGTTCAAAGGTGCAGCCTCTGCAGCTTCTAGCAGGGCACCCTGTCACTCCCGGTGTAAATGTGACTGCAGGCTCAAGCCGGCAGAAGTCGAGGCACCCCATGACAATTCAACCACGCATTCGCCGGCGATAACCCCAAAGTGGATGTAGCAGATTGGACTGCCTCGATGAGATGGTGCCTCAAGGAACTCACTTGCCCAGAGGAGATTACCAAGGTGCAGTCCACTGTGGCCCACTTGCGAGGGCTTGTACTTCAGTGGGCTACTTTTGAGGCTAACGAGGCCCCGAAACAGCTGGCCGACTGGGATGTCACAATAGGATTGGACCATATATTTAAGGGTCTGGAGGAGAGGTTCGCCAATCGAGAGAGAGCCGAGGAAGCTGTTGCAGAGCTCGTAAGGTTAGGCCAGTCACAATGGCAGGGATCCCTCTCCAAGCTCTACGCAGTTTGGGAAAAACTAACCTCTACACCTGGGTTATCGACGCCAGACCGACCAGTTGTTTATCCAGGCTATCCTCGTAACCTATGTACAGACTCTATTTACTGCAGGTCACAAGGACTGGAGGGCCTTTGGCAGAGCAACCTTGGATTTTGAGGCTAAACGCCAAACCCAGTCCGCATCCCAAGTAGGAAGCACCTCCCCTTCGTGAGCCAGAGGAAGAGCAAAAGGAGGTGTCACATGATGGAGTCTAAGGAAGACTCTGCAGGCTTTAACCAGAGAGGATTGACTCCCTCGGTTGGCCAAGGTGCAGGCGGGAGGCTTCCCAGACCAGGCTTTTCTGACTTTGGCTCAGGAACTGTTGAGCGTCATCGAGGGCGCCAATCAGATCCAGAGACAAAGGTCCCCCTCTCCTACGGGGTCTGATAAACGTCCCTGTAGGCCGCAGAAACAGAAATATCTTCCTAAGTTTGCCAAATGTCCAGCTAACCCTATGGATCCTTCCACCCTCCCATGGACAGACTTGCGCATCCCAGATGGGCTGCAAAAGAGGAAGGATGCTGGTGTCTGCCTCATATGTGCAGGGCAACACTTCGTTGAGTACTACCCGTCTCTTGGGGCCATCACCGCTCTGGAACCTGAAGCAGTCACCAGTACACCTTGTCGACCTAGTCCCCTGTCGAGCAAAGCAGGGTCAGATTCCAATACGTTTTGTTTGTTGATTCTGCTTGTGCGATCAGCCACATTGGGCTTCATCCCTTAGCTGACAACCTTTACTTGCCTGTACATCACCTGTGCTTGAGGAAGAATTTGCTAACTTCCGGGCGGATTCCATTTCTCAATCACCGCTGATAGGCGGCCTGTTGATTGGACTGAATTCATCTTGTTCTGAAGATGAATCAGCCCCAACCAAGCTTGTTGGTAGTCTGACAAGAATTTCTCGATTTATGCGTGTCATCCTTGAAAGCGCAGGGGCCATGCTAATTAATCTATCTTCTCTGTATCGTTCCAATTTTAACGGATGCCCCGAAGGACCTGACAAGAATTTCGATGTGGGTTCACAACTTCACATTGAATCTTTATCTGACTACCCCCTTGTGTACGCTTGGCTTTCCACTCGTTCTCTAAGCACAATTTTTGTAAACTGACAATGATCTGCACTCACTGTTTGGATGACCTGTGTTGAGAGAAAGTATGATCACTGCAGATCCTACTTACTATTCTCACACACAGTCCCGATTGATTGCTCTCACAGGTAGAAGTCAAATATCCTCTGATACTTCTTGATGGTTGCATACTTGTATCGCTAGTGTTATGAACCTTACCTGGAGAGTCGTTGACTCCTGTATCCACTGGGCTGTGTCCCAACATTGCCCCAAAATGTTTGATCAGAGTGGACCTATATGTCTGTTGTGACTAAACCCTACTCAGATAGACCTACCCTGCACATGGTCCTATTGTCTAAAGCCTTATTACTGAATACGATAGGCTTTAGTCCCATCTACAGATCGTGTCAGATCCTTTTTTTTTTTTTTTTTTTTTTTTTAATACAAAAACACCCCCACCAGTGTTAGTGCTGCTGTCAGATCCTACCCTATTCCAGGGAAGAATCTGTGCATCATGCTTCCAAATACATAGATCAGCAGTTGAGGAGTCTAACTGATACCTAACTGATACCCAGTCCAGTCCAGCCAGAGGTTAATCAGATTTCAGCCAAGTTGATTACCAGGCTCATACCCTTACATTCAACTAGCTAACTCTTGCTGTTAATCTGAGCTCCAATAATATGCTTTTCAGGATTTTGTTGGCTGTCTATAAGCTGGATAAGCTGATTACCAGGCTGATACCCTCGCTCGCACTCAGCTACCCAACACTTCACTTATTGATAAAATCCGACCAACGACCAGCGGATTTTCAAAACCTGCTGATTGATTGCCTAGAAGCTGATTGCCTGACCAAAATCCTCGCATTCAACTAATCAATCTAATATGATAATCTCGCCCTAACCCTCCGAGATTGTTGGATCTTCGCATTCTCCACAACAAGGGAAGCTTAACGATCCTGCAGCTAGTATCCGTCCAACCATTTTGGATGGTGGTTGGTTGGGTTGCTCGTGGGTCCTCGCTCCCCAGGAGGGTAAGAATGCACTAAATCGCAGTATCCCAGTCAGACTGTACACTAACTCTGTTTGCTGTTTCCTCGGTTTGGGCCTTGCGGGACTTGATTCCGTGACGTGTAATTTGTACGTTCAGTTTGTTAGCTTTCAGCCCTACTGGGCTTGTTTGGTCTTAAACCAGTAGCTACTAGCTAGTAGTCTCTGTTTGGCAGTCTTCGACCCTCAGGCTTTGCTGTTTTGTCGTTTTGTGCAGTTTTTGCTGAAGTCAACCTGGGACTTGATCCCATGACCTGTAGTGTGTTTGTGATGATCGACTGTTCTTGAGCTTTATTGGGCTTGAGCTTTGAACCTGTCGCTACTGTAGTAGTCTCTCTACTTCGTAGTCTTAGGCCTTTCAGCCTGTTGTTTTGTCCTTTTCTGCCCTTCTGGAAACTGGTAGGCCCATAGGTCTTTCTTTTGTGTCTCCTAGCCTTGGCTCCCCTTAGTCGACATTTCCATCTAGATGCATGTAGGTAGATCTTGCCTGTTTGGCCGTAGATGTTTGCAGTTTGGACGGTCAGATAGGTCAGTAGGTGGCTGTGGTGTTGTAGGTCTAGGGAAGTCGGGTAGAAGTCGGCAGAGGCCGACGAGTTTGGGGTTCTTTTGGTTGTTTTCGTTGCTTTTCTTTTCACAGTCTTGGTGGAGGTCGTGTTGCCTCCCTGCTGCGCTATTGTGGGCATCTTCTCCACAATGAAGCTGGTCGGCCCCAGCTATGGCCGCCAGCTATGTATGCAGGGCATCTTCTCCACATGCCGCTGACGGCCATAGCTGGGGTCGACCAGCTCCATTGGTGACAAAGCTGGGGGCTCGGCGCCCAAGTGCTGATGAGCGCTTCCTCATATTTGTGTGCTTGTTGGGGTTCGGTCATCAGCTGCCACCGAAGCTGCACTTTCAGCGGTTCTTCTTCGACGCGGCAGATCATCATCATCTTCGTCCAGTTGCTGTTCTTCTTCATCGTCCTGGGAGCTGCGCTCCCCTGCTGAGTGGATGGACACTTCATCTGCAGTGGACTTCTTGACTGGTGCAGAGACGGGTGTTGGATTTAGGAGGGTCACCGAGGGTGTGTGGCGATTGGCAGGCTTGATACTATTCGGCTGGGTGCTCGCAACCACCATAGCTAGAGCTTGAGGAAGAGGGAGGAAGAAGACGACTCCCGGATACTTCGATGAAATCTTGTAAATAACTGGTCCGTGGGCGCCAATAACGTGGTTGGGATTTTCTTGGAAATTTTTTGTGCTGTTGATTGACTTGGGGAGAGACGGTAATTAGAATTGATTTTCATTTTCAAATTTCAATTCTATTTTCGGTGTGTGTGTGCTTCCGCTGTGTATTGAACTGTATTCTTATCATCCAGTGTTGGTGTGGATTGCTCCCTCCAGAGGTCACTTGTCATTGCACATGTGTATGGGAACGTGTGGATGCCATGTCGGACCGCGTTTCAGTCAGGCACGTAACATCGATATCGTCGCTCCAATTTTATCAGATGTCGACTCTTCTTGTGTTTTCTCCTATCTGTGATTTTCAAGGAGATGCCCATCGAACAAAACATTATAATCACCAGCACAACTCAACCAGACTCAACATTCTTGCCATCCTCAGGGACAAGTTCTGCCATCTAGCTTTCCAAGGGCTCGCATGAAAAGGAATCGACTTTTCGTCGATAGTACCATCTCCAATCAGTGCTTTTCACAATCTGGCCTCCCGACAAGGGATCACTGCAATAACTGCTTCGCTTTCCAAGGCCTCACATGAAAAGGCATAACCTTAGTCAAAAGAGAAAGAGAGAGAGCACACACACACACACACACACACACACACAGAGAGAGAGAGAGAGAGAGAGAGAGAGAGAGAGAGAGAGAGAGAGAGAGAGAGAGAGAGA